CAGTGAGTTTCTCAGGAGCAGAATGACCAAGGATGACTTAATTCTCGGCGCCCTCCTTGTGTTCTTCCTCATCGTCGTCTATGTGCTCCATTAGAGCTTGTCGCATTATCACGTCTCCAGCTGATCGTCTCGATAGCAGGTTACGTGTGAGATCGATGAGAAACTGGGGCGGCAGGTCCACGGTCAAGTCTAGCAAGCTTGGGCAATTGGCGCATAGGTCAACCAGAAAGTTGCGGCTGTTGACATACTTTGGACGCACGTAAAACCAGAGGAGTTTTTCGCAAGTAATCATCGCCTGAGTGTTTGAGAGTATCTCGAGCATGTTTCGACGAGCATCCACCACGTAAAGAGGATCTTCCAGATCTTCCCCAAGCGCCTGGGCGGTCATCAATCTCGCGACCGTAACGTCATCTTGCGGGATAAGACCAGTATACAACCACTGCATGTATCTGTCGAAGTGGCCATCAGGCAAACCTTTCAAAGGTACATCAGCGATTACCTCTTCCACCGGTTGAAGAGGCAGTGGCCAGCGCAGGCGGCATAACGGACAAGTTCGTTCCCGCTGCAACCAACCATCGATACATTTGGTGTGAAAGTTTTGTCCGCATCCTTTGCAGTACGAAACCTTAGTGAGATCGTTGATTTTCTCAGTGCAGATCGAACATTCTCCTTCAACGGGTTTGCGAGACTTTTGCAACTTCCTCTTGAAGTATTGTGAACTTGAGCAGAGTAGGTCCTCATGAACTGCGAAGACAGTGTTTTGGGTGCCGAAGAGAACATTCACAAGTTTGTGGCCGAAACTATAACGCAAATCAATGGGGAACACGACATCTTCTGCGTTGATCTTACCGTATGTTTTTGCGTGCGGGTTTGCGTGCTGCACCCCGAGTTCTTGACACCGTCATCGTGATATCCCGTTTGCTGAATTCGTTGATCCGTTGAATTGTGTCCTTGTACTCTCGAGAGTCATGTAGGTGTCAAGGTCGTTGGTTCATTATCATGCACAATATATGCTGGACCAGCACGATCCGCTTAGTGTCACTCTACCGGTAGTGAGGCTATCGCAGAAAGTAATGGCACGGAAAAGGTAAAGGTGATTTCCAAGGTCAGGTGAGAGATCTACTGTAGCATTGTCGTCGCTGTGGTTGCGGCCAGCATTCGGTATCCCATAGTGACAGTCTCATTGTGTTTGGGTCCGACGGAGATTCGACGACGTTTGGAGAGACTATGCTAGGGTAGTTACGTCTCAGTCAACGCGACTTGCCATTTCGAAACTGGAAAGAGCCGCCCCACCTGGCACTCGCAGGGTAAGAGCGACCGACCAGAAGAGCTTTCCAGACAGCAGTCACATTTGCTCACCTCCTACAACACAGGTCTACCTCCTTTTCACTGTGAGCGAATTCCTTTCTTTGGAGACGCTCACGAAAATCGCGAAAGCCATCTATAGGCGACTTGCCAGTGACGTTAAGCACTGAAAAATTCGTCACTCTTACTCGATATGAACAAGCCAACATTGCCCACGTCTGATAAAAGCTCTTAGCATCTCCGCCAAGCGCGCTACTTACGACCCTACACCACAGGCTATCATGCCTGGCCTACTTGTTCAAGATGCACATGCATGACAGCTCAGCGCTTTGATGCATGGTCGCTGAACGGTGTATGGCATAGCAGGGGACGCCGTTGGATGATGCTAGGCAGGACGCTTTCAAAGCCCGCAACGACTGCCACATACTACGCACCCCCACAACTGCGCATTACGGTTTGAGTGGTTCGTACGAAAGCGGTCGTCTCCTTGCTGATTCTTGTATCCACCACCACGCCTATCTGCAACTCCAACAGACTTGGTGATTGCATTGCATGCTGACCAGGCCTCTCTTGTGAAGGTGGCCGAATTCCAATACCTCGGCGATTTCTCCTTGCAGCAAGTATCCCGACATGATGCACTTCTCAACAGCCATACCTTGCATGTACATCGCTGGGATACTAGTGAGAGTCGGTACGGATTCTGTCAGCTTTGCGAACGTTTCTCCCCCACGGTCCAACGGTCCAGGCCGCAGTGGCAGGTAAACCGCCAGTTTGGTCAGAATGGCATGATTTGACACGGCCTTCCCCGGATCCGATACATTGGTTGATGCGCCCGACGCATTCCTTCCAATGCAGCTCACGCGGCCAAGGCGCCGGAAACGCCGAGCTACGAGTGGCTGAACCAGACGAAGACGAAAACCATAGTAGAGACAATGGCAGGGAAGCATTTGGAATTCCGATAGCCGCAGGTTGGAAGCCGTTTGGGAAAGTCCTTTGTGTACGCTAGAGAACTGTGCCTCAAACACACAGCAGAGCAAGGCAGATCAGGTCTCATTCCCAGAACTGGGTCAGGAGCCGGGACTTAGGTCGTGTTAGCGCCCGAGAAGCAAAGGAAGAAGACAACAATAGGGGCATTGAGACATTGACGGGCGTGTTGATGGTGTGCACCTGGGGGATGGTCGGTGAGCTGGTGGCCCAATCTCTCGGAAGTAGTGACGCATGTCCAAAGCCACGCACTCGGTACTGGCAGGATGAGGCGTAAAGCTGTCGGTGTCATTCGACACGTTGGGCGTGGCTGTGGGTCTTTGCAACAGGTGGCAGCAGACAGGGCGGTCGAGGTTGCGAGGACTGCGGGGTTGACTGGCCCCCTAGCGCTCCCGTCGGCGCTTTCGCTGTCGGCGCGCCCTCCAAGGCCAGGGCCTTGGGAACGACATTATCCATTCCGCTGGGTTTCGCCTCTTCCTCGACACGACTCGGGGCGAGTCCTGTAGCGCACCGTAGCGCATCCCCAAGACATCATGGCCACCTCTGCGACTGACCGTGTGCGCAAGACCAAGCTGCGGCCGCTGTCCAGTGCCACCAATCTCACCGACTTCACACACTCGACGGCCGACCCAGCTGATGTATGCCGCCTGCTCTCCCCACTACATACGTACCATGGACCCCAAACTAATCGCGATATGTAGTCGGATGCACCGTCAGATGGAGAACTCAACGACTTGTACCTCTCCTCCTCTCCCTTCGTATACTCCATGCGCTTACACATCGCAGCGAGGTGCAAAGCCTCACGCCAAGCATGTATGGCGTCGAGAAGAAGTACGGCCGAACTTACCATGGCTTTCATGCTGGAGGTACGCACATCCACCGAACGGCTTTTCGCCTGACTCTAGCTAATTGACTCTAGCCTACCCATTCCCCAACGACGAGGTACGCGCTGCTAGAACCCATATTCGCCATTTGCCATTCGCCCTCTCGCTGACTCGCACACCTACAGCTCGAAATCTATCGCCTGGAATGGGAGCATCATATCATAACAGGACTTCTGCAAGGAAAACACTACTTCGCGCCGCTGAACACAAAGAGATCGTCGAGGATGCTGGACATTGGCTGTGGCACCGGACAATGGTGCATCGCGATGGGTATGTGCTGTGTCTATAGCTCCTTGTGGAAACACGACTGACAAGCAATAGCAAAGAAGGCTCCAAAACATTGGCGGGTACGCGATGCAATGCTCTCTTCATGGCCACGCTAACCAGACATCAGGTTGAAGGCATCGACTTGTCCGCGATCCAACCCAAGAAAGACAGACTGCCCAACAACGTCGACTTCTGGCTGGACAACATCCTCAAAACATCATGGTGGTTCCCCGAGAAACAACCCTATACCTACGACTACGTCCACACACGCTTCATGCACGGCATCTTCACAGATTTCCGAGAAATCATACAAAAGGGCTTCAACAATCTGAAACCTGGTGGATGGATGGAGTCGCAGGAGATATTTTCCAAGCTCCAGTGTGCCGAAGGCATGCCGGAAAGTTACCCGCTACTTGAATGGTCAAATCTGCAGGACGAGGCCGCGCACATCCTGGGCCGGCCGTTGCGCATCGCGGATAAATTAAAGAGGTGGTACCGAGAAGCCGGCTTCGTGGATGTGCACGAGGAGGTCTTCGCTCTGCCCGTGAATCCATGGCCGAAAGAAAACAAGTCGAACATGTACGGCAAGTTTTGCATGTGGAATATGCTCGTCGGTTTGCACGGATGGACGATCGAATATTTCGTCACCGGCCTGGGCTGGACGCCAGCAGAGGTCGAAGTCTACCTCGCGCATGTGAGGAACTCGCTCGCAGACGAGAGCGTGCACGCCTACTACAACTTGTAAGTCGCTTGTTGAACATGTGACGAGATTGAGAGACGCACACTAACATCTACCAGCTACGTAGTATGGGGGCGCAAACCTAACGACGGCGAAGCCGGCAGCACAATACCCAAACCCGACCACTGGCCGCAGCCTCCCTCTGACGACGACGAATCCACCTTTTCATCGGGAATCTTATAATACACATTTGGAACAGCCAGTATTAGCTGGCACATATGCATATGATTTAGCTCTTGGCGTTATTCATTCATCGGGGTTCTGGGGATCGTGCCTTCTTTCCTTTTACATGGATTGCAAGGAGGTAATTTGTTGTTGTTGTTCTTTGCATATTTTCTCGGCGGCTTGTGTCGATTGAAAAAGCCTTGAGCGGTGGTTGGGATCCTGTTGCTTGAGGGTCTGCGATTTACGATGTATGAGACTTGGACTTTCTATGGTGTTTGGATGGAGGGGTTAGTTGTTAATGTCATTCGGTCTGTTGCTATTTCGGGTCTGCGAATGAGAAGATGAGTCACTATGATGTGTGTAGAGAGTTGGTCTTCGTTGTCATACGTGATGGAAGTCATTCGGACTATGTGCGGCTGAACCAGATTCGTGTACGTCCAGTTGCAGTAACTCTATCTATCTAATGACCTTCGCTTTCCCGACTTGCGATTCGCTGACATCTTCAGCAGCGATGATTCCGAGAATGTGCTGGTCAACTACCTCAGCTCCTAGCACATAATCGAGCGCTCCAGGCCTTCCAAGAATGCTTGCTCTGCTTCAATCTGTGCTGCCATCGGCTCAAGCTAGCAGAAGGTGCTTGGTGCCTCGGTGGGGAATCAGTCCATCTTTTCCAGGTAGTTGCTCATGTTTTCCATCGAAGCCAGCATCTCCTTCTTGCCTTGTTGGATGTCCAGAAGTGCGACGGCGAGATCAACGAGGAAGTCCTTGGGTAACAACTCCGCGTTCGTAGCCAGAAATTCGCCCTGTATATCGATCCACAAATCCACCAAAAGGCGACGACCAAGACTACCAGCACATGTGCCCTGATATACGCTGATGATGGTGTTTATTGTTGGAGGGTAGCTTTTCCCGTTCGCATCTTGTTCCAGAGAGACCTCTAGCAGACTTTGGATGGCGGAGTTCTTCGTAGCCTTGTCTAGTAGCTTCTCACCGATGACGTAAAGCTGGGCCAGTACGTACATCTCTTCTAATAGATGAGCATTGGTTTTTGGCTCCTCGAGCGTGTTGGTAGCAAGGCGACCTGTGTAGAGAAGGTTGATGTAGATGTCGAAAACTTTTGGGTCGTCTTCTGGCAGCCTGACCATACGATTTTTGCTTTCTATCCATTTGCCATTCATGGCGCGTCGGAAGAACTCAGAGCGTGCGCAGATGAGTCCCTCATGGACCGAGAAGTGCCGTTGATCTGGCGCTTCGCCCACGACGACTGTGATGAGCTTAGAGGGATCGAAGCTGCTATAGTCAGGTACCGATTTTGGATCACTGGCCCACGGGTACTCACCTCATTGCTGTCTTCACGCCTACTCGGAGAGTTGCAATGGCCGCAACCATGATGGCAGAGGTGCCTGATTGGTGCCGGGTAAGTGGGAGACGGCGAAGGGCATGTGGAAAGCGAAAGGTTTGAAGTAGGTGTAAGCGAAAAAAAAAGACCGGAAGCGGCAAGTTCGTTTGTCCAAATCTGGTGCGGTGACTGGTGAATTCGAGTGACATCATTGGTGTCTGCGCGCGGTGAGCGACCACCTACAGCTAGCCTTAGATGATGGTGCCACGTCAACCTAGGGAAAAAGTGAACACCCTGGGGTCTACATCGATGTTAATACACCCACCTTGCATGTACTTGTGTCTATGTAGTCTGCAGACTTGTTGAGCTTTTCCCTTGTATGAGGTGGTGCAGCTAGCGAAGCACCTGATGTTCAAACTGGAGGATGACCAAAGAATCAACGCAGCATTTGTAATGTAAACCCATAGAGACATGCTGCTACTATGTTTACAGATACTCCCTAGGTGGACGCTGCCGTCGCACGACAATGGTACACTGACAGGTAGAAACAAAACGAAAGTTCCAAGTACGGTGTCATGTAGGAGGGTGAAGGTTCGAAATCAGAAGACGACATATTCCCGTGGGGTTTGGGTCTCATAGGATGTTGGAAATCATGACGTATTGGATCAATTGACAAACAAATGTTGATTCCTGCAAGCTCCGTAGATTTGCCGCGCTATTTTGACTGGCTAACTGTGCTACGTGTCTCTATGCCTTAATACGGCTGCTTCCAGGCTATCATCGAAGATCAGTCATCCGATTTCATTCATTCCGCTGACCACAAACTCCACGATCATTCGGTGCAAGTCGGTAATGGCAACCCCAGAGTAAGACTCAAAGTTGTTCTTGATACGCAGTGAAAGACGAGACAAATGCAACGTTCCGCATACGTGCAGGACGACAAGCATGAAGCGAATGGGCGAGATCGATGAAGAATTCCTTGCATACGACTTCCGATTGCTCGAGAATGCACTTAGTGTTGTCATCATTCCAAATTTCGACCATGAGGCGTCGTCCAGGGCTGCCTTTCAACGTGTTCTTGTACATGAACTCGACGATCTCGGCGTTGGGTAGTCTGTCGGCAGACAAATTTGCCGTGGTTTTGGGGTGGAGATTCTGCAAGGCGGCATTCTTAGCTTCTTTGTCTTGCAGCTTCTCGGCGAGGATGTAGAACTTGACGGTTGACAACGTATGTGCTTGAAAGTTGACAGGCGTCATCTTGGGAGCGTCTGGTTCATTGTACAACACGCCCATATAGATGAGATTGACGTAGAGGGCGAAGATCTTGGGGTCGTCCTCAGGTAGTTTGACAAGTCGATCCTTCTTCTCAGACCAGTTGCCGTTCATCGCGCGGCGGAAGAACTCAGAGCGTCCGCTCAGAATGCCTTCGTGGAGTAGGAAGTCTTCTTGAAAACCTTCAGGACCGACGCGCACAGTCAAGAAGGAAGCCGGGTTGAAGCTAGATTGTTCATGTCAGCATCGGCGATTCATGGTTACAAAAGATGACTTGCTTTATGGTGCTGACTTTCGCAGCTTCTGCAGCGGTTTGTGACTCCATCGTGAGCACTATCGTCCTGGTGGTTTTGAATCGCGGAGAGTGGTGTGAGGAGAGGTGAGGAAGGGATTGTCGAACAATTGCAGCTATACGAGATGATGGTCTGCAACTTGGCTGTGGGCAGATACGCGTCTATGGCAAGTCACAATCAAGGTGAAGGCCGAATTGCAAGACTAGTGCTGTGATTGGTGTGGCGGCTTACGAGGATGGAGTGAGAGGACCCGCAATGATGGCGACGGAAGCGGTCGAGAAAATGATTTTCTTCTGATGCCGCTAGATCGTAAGGCAAGGCGGAAACAAAGACCGTTAGCATGGTGTAGTATTAGGATGCTGATACCTATTGGGCAAAGGACAAGCACGTGCCATGAGTCTAGTCGCGACTTCCTGAACATGTAGCCACCTATCTTGTCATCATGGTACCTGCCTCTGAGGGAAACAGCACTTACCTGGGCGCACCTTGGCAAATAAAAACTTTACCTTACCCAGCTCACTATGTTGGACCTGTTCCTGACCGCTCATGTTCGCTGGCGTGTACTTTTGCCATGTTGTCATCACCATTTAAGACCCGACTACACTCCTCAGCCAACATCTTGATGTCAGCGGAATCTCAAATAGTTCAGATACGGGCGCAGCCTCTTCGTGCACGCCATACCGGCTCTGGGACTCACCTTCACCTCGCCCTCTACCCAGCCCGCCGTCTGCCTAGCCCCGCCACCCTGCATGCAAGCCCTCCCACCTGAGCCCACCCATTATCGGCACCTACAAGACCCACCTTTACCTGTAGATATAAACCCCAACATTACCCCATCCACCATCAACTCTCCTCCACTTGGCGGACTCGGGTGGGCTCCTGACGGGTACATAGAGTGCATTGCACGGATTAGAAAAACCTAGAGAAAAAACAGACAACATGTCCATCAAAACCAAAAGTGACTCTGGTAATGGGAAAAAACACTCAAGAGATGGATTTGTCACACAAAGGGCTGAACTCAGGAGGGCGCGCCGTTCGATTCGGAGTGGGCGTCGGTCAGCAGATGCTGGGTGGGGGTTGAGTTGATTCTTTTTTGCCCTCTTTTTTTTTCGATTTGGGTTTGGAGGTGAAGGTGGAAATGGCATGTGAGAGCGGGTGACAAGTCTCTCGTAGAACAACGACACGCGGCCGCATTTAAGACACAACAGAGGAATGCAGAAGACACGCAGAGGTGCGAAGAAAGATGGACATAAGACAAATACAGATGACTTAAAGGTTCACGTGACTTTTCTACTTTTACCATTGAGTATGTCCTTCCTGAATGGCATCGCAGCGTACCCGTGAGGCCCGTGCGACGGCGTGGCACTCCTTTCTGTCAGCTTCTTCCACAGCTCGCCTATGCTTGCTCTGTTGGCGGGGAGCATACTATATTGCAAGCTGTATAAGTTGCGGCGGTGGATGGGTGGGACAAACTGCCCCGACACGAGATACAACAAGACGCTAGGCGAGAAGTAGTGCTTGCGTATGCGATCGCCGAGGTCGAAATAGGGTTGAAACATCGCGCGTAGTGACAGCGGGATCGACTGCATGGTGTGAGTTCACATACGTTACAGAATTGAGAAACTTGAGTTACCTTCAGCAACACATAGGCCGTCGGCGGTGAGCCTGTCTCGCTTGTCATGCTGGAGGAAAGATCGGTCGTGTCTTGTAGCTCGAAACAGATTCCTCCAGGTAGTCTTCCAGGATCCTTCAGTCGTAGCATGACTGCGAAGAGCGGGAAGTGATTGAGACAGGCAAGCCCCATCTCCAGCGCAGCTTTTAGTCCGATGACAGCAATGCGTGCGCTCGCAAACGTCAAGTAGAAGACGAACACAGTTGGCAGTAAGAAGAACTGCAGTGTGAAAAGAATAGTGCCGAGCAATAGCTGGTCCAAGTCGTAGTCGCATGAGTCGATTCGGTTGCGGAGGATGTTGCGCTTCTTTCCACGGAAAAGGTGGAAGAGGGATATGATTATCGTAAGCTGCCAATGAAAGATGCGAGCAGACGCGACGTAAAACGAATAGATGTGCAGCGTCAGCAGCGAAACGAGGTCCGAGAAGATTGAGATGGGCATAGTGGCGCCAGCGAAAGCGGAAAAGCCAATGATCTGGATCAGCGCAGGTAGATGTGGCCGCAGGAGTGATATGCATCCCGCCCAGTAATCAATGACCCAAAGAAAAAGGTCGCCCAGGAACGCAGCCAGTTCAGTGTTCAACTTCAAGCCTCCGGGCCATCCCATAAGCCATGATATCATGCGCCGTAGACCGTCGACTGACCAGGTACTGAATATGGTATCGACCTGAGCAGCCACGAACGAAGCGTTCTCGATGATGAATGTTCCAACAGCGATGCCCATTATGACATCGTTGGCAACCAGCCACAGACTATTGTAGAACCGGATATACTCCGGATGACTGTTAGTGATGCTTTCCCAGTCGATTTTCCTCCTTCGTAAGGTGAGATACTGAATGGGCCAGTAACAGGACTGTTGTAATCGTATGTCAATCTGTTGCGCCGTCGCGGAGATGTCTTTCAGAGCTGGCGAGTCGGAAGAACCTGGTCGCCAATGGAGAAGCTGAAGAACGGCTTCTCCCATTATGCGATGGGTGATGAGCCCAAAGATAAAGAGTTGTGCGGCTACCGGCCATATCCAGACTCTGAACGCATAATGGAGGACAAGCCATATATAGTCCCAGAGATCGTTCGCAGACTCGACGACCCGCTCACTGACACTCAAGGCTCGCTTCATGCGCCTGCCCATCATACCGATGTTTTTCTGCAATAGGGCGTTCAATTCGTGCGAACAGTTCACCTGCTCGATGAGCATCGGCAACGCCAGCTCCTTTTGAGTGCGCGGGTGTGCAATGACCGTGTGCAGCTTGAGCTTCTCAACGAGATGTGCCTTCCTTCTCCGCTCCTTCTCTTCTGCTTTCTCCAGCTCCTCGAAAGCTACATCCCATTCCGCGACCCTTGTTTTGTCTCCTAATGCGAGCGTGATAGGCTTGAGCGAGAGGTATTGCATACGCGTTGGGTGCGGTCGGTCGTATACGATGACTTGCATAGCCACGAGCGGTTCGTGAGGATAATGAAGGCGCGGAAAGCGGAACGAGGGGTCGGTATGGACTACGATGAGGTCGGTATCAGGCTGTTCGACTGGGCTCTTGGGGTTGACGTAGCCCAAAGCGCGCATCGAGGAGTGTCCGCATCGTTGAAGTAGTTCCTGAACATCGTGTGGGCTGTGTCGCAGCAAGGTCCCGACAAGCAGCGCGTTCTCGACTTGACGCAACTCGACTTCTTGAAGCACAGCTACCACAAAGACATCTGACTTCGAGTTTCTGAACCCCACCAGAACGCCCGGCGCAGAGTCCTTTGGAGCGTCTGACGGCCAGAATACGCGCATCAACCCATTGTGTGTGACCATGTCATCATCCTGCTACCCCGCTAGACTAGAAGGAACCGCGACGTTTGAGCTGCTCGCGCGCAGAGATGCCGGTGCCTGCGAGTCGGGGATGCTGTTTGATGCTGTTAGTAGGGACCCGGAAGTGCGATCAAGGCTCATACTGACCAAGTCTGTCTCTTGTGTCGCGATGCGCACAACGGGTAGTATGAAGAGGAAGAACAGCAGGGACAGCAGGCAGAAACCCTTAGCAGTCCGTGTCACAACGCCGTGATCCCAGGCAAAGATACCTAGTTCGTAGACGCGCGTCACAAGATCCCAACGGGCGGTCGAGTACCCTGCGACGAAGATTCCGATAGTAAGAATGGAGAAAGCGTGCATCTACGCCGTCATGCCAAGTTGTATTCGGAAAGGTCGAAGGGGGACTGCGCGAACACTAGACTAGCATTCAGGAAGGCGCAAGTGTCTGCGATGCGTCCTGACTTTCACTCTGTGAATTGACACTGGTATGAAGTAGTGCGCTTGGGCGTACATGGCGCTGAATGCATTAATGCGCGAGGCGTAGAAAGACGACGATCGCGTACGTGGAAGGTCCGGTTCATCAGAATGTGACGCTAAAGCTGAAATGGCCTAGCGTTCATCTCTCCGTCCTCGACAACATTGAACGGTGAACACCACTGCAGAGGCAAGCGTCAACACCCAGACGCACAAGGAGATTCACCCTTTTCGACAAGCAGCTATAATACACCAGCTGCCGTGCTACGGTAGGTGCTTGATTTCGTCTCGTCAACTCTTTCTACTCTACTTCCATACTGTCTACGTTGATTGCTTAGCGCGATTTTGCGACGAGCATTCCCAGTGCCACATGCATCGGTCGATATGGGCAGAGACGGGCAGAGGGCCGGGAACACCGAGAGTGCGCTTCGATGGGCAGAGGTAACTACAAGTAATGGATTTCAACGGCGTTTCACTGCTGTGTGAATCGCAACCACCTGGGCAAGATTTGGCGCTCTCACTTTATACAAGAAAAAAGCTGAACAGGTCTAGAGCCTACATCGACGCTAGGTCACCTATCTTGTAGGTTTTCACGTCGATGTAGGCTGCAGGCCTGTTCGGTCTTTTTCTTAGTTGACGTGCTTTGTTCGCGTTAATTACTAGCGCGTCGCGTCCGTCCGCCGGAACCTTGGAACCCTCGCAGTTTCCGTTCACACCAGCCGCGACTGCCTCTTTCATTGACGTCCACAAGTTGACAACACAAGTAAAATCTCACCGTTGCTAACAAACCCCAGTCAACTGCGAACTCCAGATCTTGACCCCGGACAAAGAGGCTATAACGGCAACCAAGGCGACATGACTGTCTGTGGCTTCTATCAGCGCAATGCTTGCAAGTTCGGAGATTCCTGCAAATTCGAGCATCCTGGAAGTTCGCGAGATGCAGCTCGAGGCGGAGGCGGCTTTGGCGGAGGCTCTACCAACAACCGCTTTGGTGCTTTCAACGGCGACCGCTATCGCCCAAGTGATAACAGCGGGACTAACTCATTTGGTGGAAACCGTGATCAGAAATCATCGACCTTCAGCTTAGACAAGGACGCCATTCAGATCGATCTCGCCAAAGAGCGGCCGATCTATCCGCTTTCATGCTACGGTCCCGGGAAAGATGCTCCGCGCCAGCTCATCGAGGGGCCTGTCGAGATCAGTCCAGAGGAGCTTCGATCCCGGTACTACACATTACGCGCGGCAGGCAATGAGCCTACAGCGGTAAGTCTGAAGTTCAGCGCTGGGTTCTTGATAACTAACGGTCTGTAGCAACAAGAAGAGGGAGCGCTGAGCGAGAAGATGCAACAGCAAGTAAAGGCGATTTTGGATGATATCACAGGTGCTATCAACTATGTCGCAGAGGGTGCCAACGTACATCCCAACCGCATCGACATCGCCAAGGGCACTGCAGCAAGCGGATCAGCAAGCAATCCTACTGGATCGTCTAACACTGCTGCGAATCCCTTCATCAAAGCACCAGCGAACCCGTTCCAGACTGCTGCAGCTTCATCTCAACCATCCGCGTTCGGGCAGGCTTCTACACCAGGATTCGGCAAACCGGCCTTCGGTCAACCAGCACAGACAAGCTCAACATCGGCCTTCGGCGCTGCTTCTGCGTTGGGTAATCCAGGATTTGGCAAACCGGCCTTCGGTCAACCCGCTCAGACAAGTTCAACATCGGCCTTGAGTGGTGGTAGTGGAAGTGCATTTGGGAAGCCTGCCTTTGGTGCCTCTGGGTTCAGTCAACCTTCAGCCTTGGGCGGTGGTAGTGGGAGTGCATTTGGGAAGCCTGCTTTTGGTGCCTCCGGATTCGGCCAACCATCAGCTCCTGGTGCAGGTAGCGCATTTGGCCAGTCCAGCAGTATGGGTCAAGGTTCTGGATCTGCTTTCGGCCAGACATCAGCTCCTGGTACAGGAAGCGCTTTCGGGCAAGTCAGCAGTATAGGCCAAAGTTCTGGATCTGCTTTCGGCCAGCCATCAGCACCAGGTGCGGCGTCGGGTTTCGGCCAAGCAAACGCTCTTGGACAAAAGCCAAGCCCCTTCAGTAAACCAGGTTTTGGACAGAGCGGATTTGGACAGGCGGCTCAACCAGGTGCCAATGCCTCTCCTTTCAGCCAGCAAGCTTCGTCTGGCGCGTCACCATTTAGTCAGCAAGCCTCGTCAGGTCCATCTCCCTTCGGCCACAAAGCACAGCAACCAAGCCAGTCTTCACCATTCAGTCAAGCTGCCCAGCAGCCAGCTCAACCTTCACCGTTTAGCCAGCAAGCTCAACACACCCAGAAACCGAATCCGTTCGGTCAGCCTCAGCAGCCGTCTACACAAGCACCTGCACAGGCGAACCCCTTTGGTGGTGCTGCATCATCTACCACCCCGGCCTTCGGACAACCAAGCAAGCCGTCACCTTTCGGCACCCAACAGCCTCAAAACAACGCAACGCAGCCGGCAGCTGCCAACCCCTTCCTCAAGCCTCAAACATCTGCCGCGCCAGCAGCCTCCACGCCTTCACCCTCTCCCTTCACCCCCCAGACACAGAGCCAGCCTAGCAACCCTCCCGCCCCTGTTCAGGCTACCTCTCAGCCGGCTTCCATAGCCCAGCCTAGCTCCGCACCGCGCCCCCATGTTGAAGGTGTTACACCAGATGGCAAGCCTATCGACCCCAAGGATCGTTACAAGGAGGGCAAACCAGAAGAGTATGAGGGCGAGCAGGGTAGGATTCTAGAGGAGATCTACAAACGTGTTGCTCAGCTAGGACTATTCAACGATGATGAAGACATACCCGTCACGCCACCGAAGTGCGAGTGGATCGCGCCGCTTACGCTGTTGTGAAGCGACGATTTGAGTCGGATAGGACAAGTGGGGGCATCTGATGGTAAATAGCATGAACGGCGTTAATTTTGGTTTCGTGGATTGATCTCACATAATGATGAGTTAAATAATAGATTAAAATGCACACGAAAGCGCGTGTAGTTACGCATTCATTTGATCGCAAACGCGACTTCCTAAACGGTGAAGCAATTATCTCGTAGTTGGACAGAGTTTCAGAGAGGCCACTATTCAAGTCCGCATGTCAGGTTCAGGTGGAGGGCGCCTGCCACAATATCATCATCAGGTTCCAAAACACCACCATGAACAGCCTAAAATATATTTGGTATAAGGTAGTTACTCGACGAGTATCAGCTTTCGTAATGACGGAGAAGAGTCCAATCTCGTAGTGTACATGCGTGTTCCATCCCACTGGTCCATCGTATTGTACTGCCTGCTCCGCCCGTGCATGTCCCCATTCGGCGCGCTGCGCAGGTTCGGCCGCGTAATCGTCGCTTGATAGGTATGTGGTGAGTGATTTATCGCTTCTTCGCATCGACTTTGTCCTCGAGGGTTCGTACGTAGCCTTCTATCCGTTGGACGGCGGATTGGAGAGCCTGGTTTCGTTAGCCATGGCCTGCTTCACATGTATAGCCCCGATGTATCGTTCCTGCGATCGAGCTTATGCGCATGGAATGTAGGTAGGAACGTACGTAGATGTCCTCGGTCAGGAGCTGGTTCGATACGCGGTATTCGTCAATGACATAGTAGTACATGCCTGCGCCGGATGCGGTAGCACCGAGAAGGAAGCCGAACAATCTGTCGTGTGTTAGCCATAACAATTCAGTCTTCTTTGCCATTCTAGTAGATGGTGTTCGCCGTCGCGCCTGCCTGATGGCATGTGACAGTCTTCCGTGGCTGTATAGCCGTCCAACCCAGTTCAATAGAATGCAATTGCGGGATGAGCACTCACCCTCCCCTAAAAGCACCAACGGGCTTCTTCACTGGCGCAACAACAGTATCCTGCCTCAGCACAGCGCTTGTCTGGAATCCGCGGGAAGCAGCCATAGGCGCTCGAACGCCGGCGCGAGCCGCCGCCCTCAAGAATTGAGTTGCCATTGTGTCCTTTGCTATCTTTTACGTCGCTCGTATCGTGTCTCGAAATCTGGTCGCGGATTGTGATCGTGTGGGTGGAGCGTGGTGGTGGTGACGCTCGTGTGCCGGCCGTGACGTTTGTGAGCTGCCTGCTCTCCGCACTACAAACAAGCAAGCTCGACTCGCCTGACCTGGACCCTTGCCTGCCTCCCGCTTATGTCAGCCACCCCGCCTGCCTTTATCTGGTAGACCATGCACCGCGATTCATTCATCGCATCTCGACACAACAAAGTTTCTGCCAAGTGTGAGAACCGAAAAGGGTTGCGCCAAATGCCTCATCCAAGTTCTCCCCTTTCAATGGTTCTGAGTCACGATTAATGCCGCTATCCAACTCTACCTGGGTATCTTCAGCGACCCTCTCCAGATGCGGTCCCTGAAGGGGCCATAAAGGGCTTCCGAGCTCTTACATGGTCGACACGTCAAATACACGCGCACGTGCCAAACATGCCCACGAAACGGAGACATCTTGTCATAGTAATTATTGAATTAAATCGCGATGCGCGTAAGGGTATTGTAAATTATGTACACTAAGGAAATGAGGGCCTGCTGACGGGCAGTGTCCTCGTGCAGTCCACCAACTTCATCAAATCTCTCTTCTCTACACCCAGAAGACTCATCCTGATGTAAGCCTTCGCATAGTCCAGGTTCCAATGGACCTGATTACCAACAAACGACTTCCACTCATCGGCAATCTTGGGATGTGTCGATAGCACCTTGTCGCTTGGGAGTACGAAGACCTTCTGGTCAGCACTGCCACCGGAGGGATTGTTAAGAGTATCGTTATAGAATTCGACGTCCCAGACACCGGGGGTTGTATCGAGTGGCTTATCGACGACCTCTGGGCGGACGTCCACGAATCGTTGCTTGGCTGTTGCGTGGGCGCCTACGAGTGCTGCGAGATCGTGGGGCGAGAAACCCTTGTCCTTGAAGATGGCGATCAATTTGTCGGCGTCTTGATGAACGTCAGGTAGAAGTCCCTTGGGCGCGGCCTTGGTCGCATCCTTGCGGCCAACGAATGTAAGCACGCGAGGCCCCTTCGGACACGAGATTGTTGCGTGATTGTGCGCATATTGGACGAGATCAGCGTATCCAACCTTGTACTTGGATTGTACATCTCGAAGTTTTAGGCGAATGTTCTGAAGACCGTTGTTCTCGGGTCTTTCATGCTCGCCGAACTCCATGAGTAGCGATCCATCGGCACCACCGTTGAGAGCATTCTTATCCCAAGATCCAGCATCGTGGAAGCCCATACGGACTGCAGCACGAGCATTGTCGTTGCATTGTTTGTCGGCCCCAACGAATAGCTTGGTAAGCTCGGCAGAGACATCGTACCCTATATCTGTTAGGCCATAGACGATTAAGGAGGATTGGTGTAACTCACAAACGCAACATTTGTCAACACTCAACAATGAGCATGTCAACGGCTTGTTCGTCTTGGTGTTGTCGATGGGTGACTTTTTACCAGACAAGACATCCGCAATGACTTGTTCGATGCCTGAGAGAACACCATTGAGAATGCCATCAATAAGGCCGGGTGCGGCATGACGCGGTTCCAATGGAGTTGATGATGCTATCGAACATAGAGCGATGAGTGGCAACGCCAGGGATTTAGTAGGGACCATCATGGCAGCTGAGGTAAGTAACGACAGAGAAGATTATGAACAATAAATTACAAGAGCAAGGTAAGGCGAGAAACTGTGAGCTGGTAAGGAACAAAAGACAAGGTGTTTGGAACATCCTTATATTCCCCGACTGTCTCCTAACAGCAACGGTGTACCAAGTCCCAGGCCTTCCATTCTCGCCGATCACTGTCCCGCATGGAACCAAAATGCTGTTCAGTTGAGGCCACAGCAAGCCACATTGAGTAGAGGGATACAGCTCGGTCCCCGAAATAGTAATCTATCCCTGTAGCCCTAGGCTAAGCCAGCCGCTTTAAGGCGATACGGTTGAGGAAAGCCAGCCAAACAGCTACCAAGTGATGGTCATGACAGCGATATGCAGGGCCGAGCCTAGACTAATGACCTTTTAAGACAGGTAGATCCCGTCAGTGTAGGAAGTCAGCGCAGTCTAGCAGTCGCCGCCTAGAACAAAGGTGCCAAGCTTGCGAAGGGGCGCATTTGCGAACGGTCTAGCTGTTGCAGACATATGCCTGATTCAAAGAGTGTGAGTCGAAACACTCGCCATTTGACAAGCAAGCACAGCCCAGAGCAAAATATCGACAGTACAGTCACAGCATCCTGCGTGAATGCCACCAATACGTGAGTGCGGAAGAGCACTCTGCCGAAAAGCAGCATACCGCTTTGCGATTCTCCGGTGCCGCTAGCGTCGGTATCCGTTGTCCAGAATTCTACGAAGCCACGATAGCCTCGTGTTTTCTCGTGAAGATGCATGGTGGCTTGTCCAGATCTCGCGTGTTCGCTTGGCATGTCAAAACTCAATACTCTCCGCATGGTGATCCGGGACCTGAGCCCATCATCCGCGAAGAAGAATACGCCACTTGCCTTGCGGTCCCACATACGGGAACTCGTGCAACGACTAAGCGGTGTATTTGTTCTTCAGCTACACAAGCTAGTACCATCAGCTGGGATTCGCTTGCATGCCCAGGTGTCGTGGCATGGCGCGCAATGCGATTTCGAGCTGCTTTCGGGTATTGCCCCAAGATAGCGATACAAGAGCCACTGACGCTCTCCGCTAGCGAACGGTGATGTTAGTAATTGAGGTGATCCGGTAAGCCTCCAGTCCATCGACCGCTTGTAGAAGAGCTGAGCCAAGTGATCGACGACACTAGTGTGATTGTGCAGCCGCTGCTGTGGAGAGCCGGAGCCACCACGAGCACATGACCTTTGAAATGCTCAGCCCTGTAGGTGTTTGGCAGTAACTGAACACTTTTCCATCCAAATGGATTACCCTCGCAATCTGCTAACTCAACAAAGGGCTTGTTCATGGCAGTAAGCCCAGCATCTGCCACCCTTTGCCGGTGTCCATTGCTTTTCAGGACGTCAATGGTGAGAGTAGTGTTCAGAACGCGCATCGACGCGCACATAGAAGGTGTGAGGAGCGAGGGTCTTGCAGGTACTTCTGCTTACCTTGCGCGGTTCCGCTTTAATGCAGGTACCATTACCGTACCAACGTGTTGCACGGTAACAAGCAAAGCTATTGACGTTAGATGCAGCCTGACACCGTCCGGAACCAAAGTGTTGCATGATCCGACGCTCGGAGGTTGGACGCCCATGAGATTCGATGGCAGAACAGCCCAGCAAAGGGTTGTTGAGCTTCATGTACCGTTCCTATCGCCTCCAGGGCTTCTTCGGCCCGCAAAAGCATGAGCCTTGACACGGTGCTTGATTGTTTGTTCGCTCCAAGCGTTAGCATAAACGTCCCTGACCCCTTACCGCCATAATACTCAACAGTGACAAATATCCCATCAGACGTCGTTATCGCATTGATGGAGAGAGATGCCTTGGTGGAGCGGCGAGGCCACGGCTCTAGCGGGAATAATGGTCTTGGCGTGCGCCAATCGGGGGCCCCGATCAGCGGAGGCCTCGACGCGTCTCGCCCTTTTCGATCTTTGTTCCTTCATGCATCAATACTGAGGGCAGATTCGCATCAGTCGGACATTCGTATCAGCCATCTGATATCGGCTGGTACTCCCCTTTCGCAACCTCGTCACTCTTACTCTGAAATCGCGACCATTATCACGTCATGCAGACAGATGTCGCGTCCGGAATCCTCTGGCAACAGTCCGCCAAAACGTCGACGGACGGTTGAAGGGTCGTGCTGGCCTTGCAAGCAAAGACGAGTCAAATGCGACCTCCAGAAGCCCACATGCCGACGATGCCTCCTTTCCACAAACGCGGAAGACTGCAGCT